AAACACTACTAAGTCACTCTGTCTTGTGCTCATCAAATTAGAGCAGGTATTTAATCAGAACATTCTGAGAGCATTTTTAGAATAGTGGGGATTACAACTCCAATTTTTTCACACCAACGTACTCTAACACCACCACCCTTGGCAAATATGTGTACCTGTTTCCTGCATGCTCTAAAATCACTAGCATATTCCGAACAACAATTACCTCTAGAGGGGAGACTGTCACTGGCAGAAGGCCAAGAGATGCACTAGCCTTTTCTATTCAATTGGGCAATAGGCTGCTTGGGCAATAGGTCTCCAATCATTGGATCCTAAGACACTATGATCTAAAGTATTTCAGGTAAGGGATACCCTACCTGTCACACAAGCTACACCGATATTAAAGAAATTATTTACTATTACCATGAGGTCACCAATGAGGTGTTATATGTGTGTGTGTGTCTAATTTTATTAATACATAGTGCATCATCTTTCACATGCCTGAAATATTTTCTACAAAAAAAGAAGAGAAAAATGAATCTAATCACACACCACTTGTTTCAATACCACTTCCTATCTCTCTCCAGTTTGGTAGGATGCAGCTGTTGGATTTAAATCTGCCAGCTGCAGTCTATGGAAACATAACTGCTTTGTGATTTAGTGCTTACTACCCTTCCCCACCTGCAAGCACATCCCTCATGAGTCTGTGTGATGAAACACCAAACCAGAAGGACACAAGGCAGAAATAGGAAACGACACGAGACTTATGGCTTTGCTAATGTATCCAACCTCACATGCTGCCAGGAAGGATTCGAATGAGGATAAAAACAAATGCATCTGATTGCTGACAAAGCAGACTATTTTTTAAAAAAAATCTCAGATATAGGGAATAACTTCAAAATCAACAATACCCTGTGTTCCTACTTACAACAAGGATTGGTGTTACGTTATGATCTCCCTGAAGCAAGACCCCACATTTCACCAGGGAAGCCCTAGCCCCTGGCAAGGCAGTACACATTTCAAATTCCAGCTCTGCCTCTTAGCCCCACTTGAGTTTGTTCTCTCTTGTGTTTTTATCCCATCATTGTTAGAGAAGATAGTTATGGAAGTGTAAGTTCAGAATGTGAGATGAGCACAGGGTTTCCTCTGAAAGCGGAGTGAGCATCCCTCGCTTACAAAGTTGAAATCTGAAATGCTTTCAAAATATGAAATGTGTGGAGCATGACATGATACCGCAAGCAGAAAACCAAATATGGCCTCATGTGACTGACAGGCCTCAGGCAAAATGCAGGTGCGCAAAACAATTTAGTCACTGATCCCAAGGGAGCAAAAAGACCCTCCAAGCACCTTTTACTGTGATACACAAGTTTTGTCCCATGCACAAAACTTATTTTAAAATTGTGTAAAATTACTTTCAGTTGGGGGTGGTGCTGTGGCATAGTACGTTAAGTTTCAGCCTCTGATGCAGGCATCACATATGGGAGCGGGTTCAAGTCTGCTCCAGTTCTGATCTAGCTCTATGTTTACGGCCTGGGAAAGCAGTACAAGATGGCCCAAGCTTTTGAGCCACTGTACACATGTGGGGGACCTACAAGAAGCTCCTGGGCTCTTGGCTTCAGGCTGGTTCAGCTCTGACCATTGTAGTCATTTGGGGAGTGAATCAGCAGATGGAATATCGTTTTCTCACTCTTTCTCTCACACATCCTCTCCTTTTTGTAATTCTGTCTTTCAAATTAAATTAATATTTCAAAAAATTACATTCAATCTACATTATCTATATATGTATACTGTGTATTAAGATGTGTGTGTGTGGGGGGGGGGCAGCGCCATGACCTAGCAGCTAAAGTCCTCGCCTTGAATGCTCCAGGATCCCATATAGGCGCCGGTTCTAATCCCGGCAGCTCCACTTCCCATCCACCTCCCTGCTTGTGGCTTGGGAAAGCAGTCGAGGACGGCCCAAAGCCTTGGGACCCTGCACCCACGTGGGAGACCTGGAGGATGTTGCTGGCTCCTGGCCTTGGATCAGCACAGCACCGGCCTCAGCGGTCACTTGGGGAGTGAATCATTGGAGAGAAGATCTTCCTCTCTGTCTCTCCTCCTCTCTGTATATATATCTGACTTTGCAATAAAAAATAAGTAAATGTTAAAAATAAAAAGATGTGTGTGTGTGTGTACATAAGATGTGTAAGAAGCAAAAAAGGAACTCCATGTTTAGACTTGGAACCATTGCTAAGACATCTCATCACATCTATGCTGATATCTTAAAATCCCAAACACTATGATCCTAAGTATTCACATAAGGGATACCCATCTGTCATACAAGCTACACAAATATTAAAGTCATTATTATTTACTATTACCACATGGTCACATGAGGAATCAGTGTTGACACAAGAGAGAAAATCATTTTTATCACAATTCATAAGGATGTACATCCATGTGCAGGGCTCAGGAAAGTGCTTGGTGATGGAGACATGAATTCATGCTTCAGAGTACGTACTGAGCTGGTGCAGTGCCTTGGAGCAATGTCCTGTGTCTTTCTATTTGGGCCTTGTGGCTGAATTCAAGGAGGCCGACTGGTGGTCAGGGTTTTGTTACATTTTGTTAGCACCTCAGAGGAGTGGAAACATATATTTAAGCACTACTTGTATCTTAATTATGGTGCCACACTGTGGCTGGGCCATGGGACATGGTGATTTGTGCCCTTTGTCTGGTCCCTAGCAGGCGTCCTCAGGACCTGCCCTGACCTAATGTCTATGCAATTGAGTCTCTCACACCAATCATTGGTGCTGTTATTCTTTCTTCTCAAGGGACATCTCTTACTTTTCCAGATACTTTACAGTGCTCCCTACAAGTCCTGCTTCTTATTTGACAAGTATAACTTGCAGTATGTAAGAATATCATTCTACAACCAATACACTCACCTCGTCTTAAAATCTTAGATTTACAACTTTAATCCCTATACTTAACATTTTTAGGTTAGTTTTTCCTTGGGTGACAGATATTAGATTAACAGAAAACACACACATACATTTTTACACTGAAAAGATCAGTTAGGTTAACAAGAACTGTCCTGAGAACTTCTTAGATCATTCAACTGCCTATAAATAAACTTCCTATATTGTACACAATTGCAAAGATCACTATTTGCTAGATGATGGAGGGCAAACTATATCATAGGATTTGTGGACCAACCGAAAGTCCCTAAGCACATTAGGCAACTAAACTAGAACTGAGGAAAATCAGAAGTACATTAAATAAAACCCTTTGAAAGGAAGGTGGCTTAAAGAAAAGTCAAAGTACCACACCAGACACAGGTATTTGTGACAATGAACTCTACAAAAAATCACTCATCCTAGTAAGAATATGGAAATACGTATAGGTGAAAAAAAATTGGTAAATGATTACATCACAGAGTTAATGGACCTACTAAGTGAAGATTTAAAGTGACCAGGCCACAAAGAAATGCACATCACCAAGTCCTGGAGAGGCAGTGATTGAGAAACTTTGAAATACGAGGATACTTTAAGAAATTCACGCAGAAAGCATTTAAAGAAAGGATAAATTAATTTTGGTGCACAAAAATCTGAAATCCATGAGTTTGGAGGGGTCTTTTAAAAATTTATACAGAACGAAGGTCACCAAGAAGCTAGGCATGTATTTCACATTTTTTTTTTTTTTACATCCAAACCATTCTATCTTTTAATTCCATTTCCTAGCAACTTTTTTCAAGTATATAATATTGATCTGTCAATACCCATTTCCCTTACAGTGGAAATTTACCATCTTTTATGGAGGCCAAAACTGGGCTCTGCTTTAGAGGGAATTTCTCAGAAACTAAAAACCTCCCAAGTGTGTGTGGGTATTCCGGAAGTCAGCAGAATCTTTTGTGACTGGCTTCTCACGAGAAGTTATGTGAAGTTCAGAGAGGATAAAACGTCAGCCATGCAAGTCATTCCTGTGTGAAGCTGAGCAGCAGCCCCACCCTCGCCAAAGCCCAGAGCAGATTCCCCTGCGTAAGAATGTAAGCACATCTGTACAGCAGTGTCCAGGGACACAGACGGCCTTCCAGGTCTGTGACCTTGGTCTCAGTGGCAGCAGGACCGGATCCTCCGCAGCCCCAGAGGCATCCTAGCTTCTCAGGGAGGGAAAGCTACCGCCTAGAGTCTGTTCAAAATGAGAAAGTTCTTTTTTTTGAAATTTCCATTTGGAGACCCCAATTTGTAGTCCTGCTTTGGTTTAAAACCACGCTAGATTCCAGCCAGCTTATCTGCCTGGATAGGGTGGGAGGTGGCTTTCTCATGGATACTAACTAACTAACTAACTAAACTAACTAAACTAACTAAAAATCAAAAAGCAACCATCTTCTCAGAAAGCAAGCATGAGGTACCGCATGGGGCAAGGTCACTCGGTACAGATCAAATCACCAAACGTGAACCCGCAATCCAAATGCATCCTTCTTGGTATTTCAAAATGCCAAGGAAAATCCCTTGGAGGAGAGAAGTTTGTCCTTTAAAAATCAGACAACGGTTTGAAAGTGGCCAAGGTAAGACACTATCTGAGACGCGTGGGACTGACCGAGTATACATACACCGAGTCAGCTCGTATTTGCACCTGATTCCCCTTCCCACCCTGAGTGCTCGGGGCACAACCCCCTAACCCGCTCCAGGGTCCTCTGGACCCAGTGGGGCTGCTGGGGTCCTGGACACCTGTGGCATTCGCGCCAGTTCCCCCATGGGTCTTTGCAGCGACTTCCTGGGTAGAAACATCTTGTGCAAGCTGAGGAGCCGGCCTTCCCCAGCCTCGAACCCCTCCAGTGCGAGCCTGGTCAAGCCAGCCTGGTCAAGGGATCAAGTGCACGGAATGCCCTCGCCCCCTCACCCCGCCCCACCCCGCCCCAGGGGACAGCTCTGTCCCTCCTGTGCCTTGCCAGGGAAAGGAGCGCGCGTTCTCGGGGCCTGTGACTCTCCCCACGGTCCTGCGATGGCCCCGAGGGCTCCCTGCCCTTGGGTGCAGCTTACCTTGACGGCCGGGACGCGGGACACCGGCTGGACCGTTGACTTGGTCTTCCGCGCTTCCGGACCCGGGGCAGGAGGTCCGGGAGTGCTGTCGTCCTTCCCTTCCCACGCAGCGCGCAGATGGGTGGCGCCGGCCGCCTTGCACCCCAAGCAAGTGAGGAGTGAGTGTCCGGGTGGAGACGCAGACGCGGACAGAAGTGGAAGTGGAGGGCTCGTCGAGGTGGGGGCCCCTGGGGCCCACTAAGGCGGGACGCGCGTTCACTCCTCGCTTTCCCGCGCCACCTACCGCCTACTTTGCCTTACAAGCGCCTAGCGCTCTCAGGGGGCGCTCCCACCCCGGGCCAATCCACCTGTCTTCCTGGTATTTTAGAAACGAGCAGGCCGGAAGTTTCGATAATCAGCTCAGTGGTATCTTTTTTTTTTTTGCGACTGGCTTCCGTGGTTGTTTACTTCAACCATTTCTGGGCTTCCTCTTTTCTGGCCGCTTGTGCAAGCCTTCCTGCTTGCCAGGCGGCCGGCATGCGGCGGGCGCAGGCACTTGCGGGTGGCAGGGTGCACGGAGGGGAGGCCTGATGTGGCCGCAGTGGTCTGACACGCTCGGTGGGCGGGTGGCGCACTGGGCCGGTTTTTTCACCCTCAGTTTGACAACCCGGGTAACACAGAAAAGGGGCGCTGAGGCCGATGATGGCCCCCCCCCCCCCCCACGGTTAGGATAGCAAGGGAAGGTTTGGGAAATAGCCTGTGATTGCTGTGAGATGTAGATTCCTGGGAGAAAAAAGTGGCTGGAGATGGTTGAAGTTACAGACGTTAGGATCTGTTCCCATGCAACAGTCAGTGTGGCCAAATGAATCCTTGGTTGTACACTCCTGCACTCAGAGAGAGGCATGGGGGCAAGCTGTTGGACACATTAGGGACACAGGTTCAATTCATGCACGAGCTAGGTGATCTCAGTCTGGTCATTTATCCACGGAGAAACTATTAAACTATTAAACTATTAAACTATTTTTTTTTAAAAGATTTCTTTATTTTTTATTGGAAAGACAGATTTACAGAGAGCAAAAGATATACCAAGAAAGGTCTTCCACCTGCTAATTCACTCCCCAAGTGGCTGCAAGGGCCAGAGCGGAGCAGATCCGAAGCCAGGAGCTTTTTTCAGGTCTCACACGCATGTACAGGGTTCCAAGGCTTTGGGCCATCCTCCACTGCTTTCCTAGGCCACTAGCAGGGAAAGGAAAGTGGGGCAAGCAGGAGATGAACTGGCACTCGTATGGGATCCTGGCGTAAGCAAGGTAAGAACTTTAGCAACTAGGCTACTGCATGGGGTCCAAGCATCAGCTCTTTTAAGAGCAAGGAAAAGAGCAGTGCACAGAATAGGAATCCTACCTGCTCATCATAGGGCCAGAAAAGGAGACAACAAATAAATTACTGCTTAGCATGTGAAGGAAAGGTGTTTTTGGCATTTTGTGGGCAATTCAAATGTGATGGAGAGGGAGCAACGTGGTGGGGAAAGTGTGGCTATGTCAGATACGGTCACTGAGTAAGACCTAGAACGTGGGGCTTGAGTCAGCCCCCCAGGCCGCGAGATGTTCAAACCGTGTTGGGTTTTTGAAGGAGGCTATTTCCCGCAGACGGGACAGCCTGCTGGAAGTTGTGGCTTTCGGAAAGCACTTGAGATGCTGGACAGACAGTCGGGAAGCCAGGGACAGAGAGGGTACAGATAGGAGATGGGAGGGCAGGATGTGGGTGAGATGGGCAGCTGGGGGAAGACTCTGGGCAAAAGATTCCATGGTGTGCAGAGAGTGAAAAAACCCAGCCACGGAGCAGAGAGGAGTGTTCTCAGAGGAACGCAGGTGGTCAGGCACCGCCTATTGGCAAAGTGATCCCCAGTAACAGCTAATCATTCCAGAAGAAGGGAAAACAAGAAAGCTGTGGAGGTGGGGATGGAGAGGGTTGGTGAGAAGGCAGGCCAGGCTGACTGTAACACAGCCACAGGGTAGAGTGAAGTCAGAGAGACAAGCGGAAACTCGATGAAGTCAGGTCTTCATCTTGATCAGTGTTGAGGATATTGGGTCTTTTTTTTTTTTAAGATTTATTTATTTTTATTTGAAAGGCAGAATTACATACACAGAGAAAGGACACACACACACACACACACACACACACACACACACACACACACACACACACACAGATCTTCCATCCCATATGGCCTCAATGGCCACAGCTAAGTTGATCTGTAGCCAGGAGCCAGGCATTTCTTCTGGAACTCCCCCACGTAGGTGTAGGGGCCCCTAACGACTTGAGCCATCCTGTACTGCTTTCCCAGGCCATGAATAGGGAGCTTGAGAAGAAATGGAACAGTTGGGGCTCCAACTGTTGCACGTATGGGATGCTGGTGTCCACAGGGAGATTAGCTTGCTACACCACCACGCCAGCTCCAGAGGCTGAGGTTTTATTTGAGTTGTAACAGATTGCTGAAGTTTTGGGTAACTGAGTGCAGGACTTGACTTATGCTGTTAACTGTGGGTGTCCCCTGTGGGTGCAGGGGCTCAAGGTCTTGAATCTTCTTCGGTTGCTTTCCTAGGCGTGTTACCAGGTTACCAGGGTGCTGGGTCAGAAGTGGAGCTGCTGGGACAGAAACCAGTGCCCATATGGAATGCCAGCGCCATATTCAGAGGCTTAACTTGTTTTACCATGGTGCTGGCCAAAGGCAGAGAAATTTCTGAGCTAAGCAGAGAGGTTGTAATTGTCTGACTAGGTGGTGACAGAGGAAATACAAAGCCCTGGGCTGGCCTGAGAGCTGTTTGCAAGGTGCTTGGCAGCATATCGTGACACTGAAAGAGGCAGAGTGAGGAAGGGATTGGTCTTCAACAATGATGGCTGGCAGTGCCCGACTTTGAGAAGAAGACTATTTGGACAGAGAAAGATAACGAATTGTATCGCTAGCAAGTCCAAGTTGACAAGCCTATGGGCCCTCCAAGGGAAGACTTCAAGTGGAGAATTGGCAGTAAGGGTCTTCTATTCAAGAGGGGAGGCATGGCTTAGGTTTAGGGGTACCCATTTTGAGTCATGAATACAGAGGTGGTGATTCAGGAGATTGCTTAGAGAGGAAGGAGTGGGATGAGGAAGGGGCTGTGGATAAAGCCTCAAAGAACCATCAAGGAGGAAGCAGAAGTGGCAAAGCAGGTGGAGGGGTAGTCGAGAAGGGTGGACGAAGGCCCTGTAAAGTGACAGGGGAAGAAAGAAGTGGCCAGTGATGCCCAGAGATGTTGAAAGGACAGATTGAGATGACATTTGGTTGCTAATCTCTTCATACCTCTGAGCAGAGAGACACACACATGAGAGAAATCTCCTGCATGCTGCTTTGCTGCCCATGCCAGCCGCAGCAGGGCTGGAGCAGGCTGAGGCCAGGATCTCCTACCTGAGTGGCAGGACCCCAAGTGCTGAGACATCACCTGTCATGAAGCTGGGATTGAAAAGGGGGTGAGACTTGAACCCAAACACCCTGATACGTGACATGGGCATCCTGGTCCAGCGTCTTCATGGCTCCAGGTAGTGCTTACATTAGTGACCTCGGAGACCCGACTGGATGGTGTGATGGGGCCGGAGGGCACCATGGGTGGAGGAGTAAAGAGAACTTCAAGAAGAAAAAGGATCCTGTTGAGCAGGTTGCTTAGGAAGAGGAGGAAAGGGAGAGGGAGGCAGTTAGGGATATAGAATCGAGGAACATATTGAAGTGGACAGACAGTAGGGAGGTTGTAAAAATATGAATATTAGAATAGAATCACAAATTTGGAGCTCAAATTTTGATGGAAAACGATTTGCATGTTACGAGGATTATAAAATTCTGGGGGCCGTGTTGTGGCATAGTGAATTAAGCCACCATTTTCCCAAATCACTACATTGGTTTGAGTCCTAGCTACTGTGCTTCTAATCCAACTCCCTGCTAATGCACCTGGGAGAGCAGTGGAAGATAGCCACCACTGTGGGAGACCTGTATGAAGCCTCTAGCCCCTTGCTTCAGCCTGGACCAGCTTTGGCTTTTGGGACCATTTGAAGAGAGGACCAGCAAATGGAAGGCCTCTCTCTGTATGTCTTTCCCCATCTCTTTCTGCTTTTCTCCGTCTTTGTAGCTCTGCCTTTCCAATAAATGAATAAATCTTTTCGTAATAGCTTTCGAATAGGAAGATTCCAGAGGAGAGAGAGAAGCAGTTGAGGATGAAATCGACTTGAAGCCATTGACGGTTGTGAAGCATAAGTGATTGAAGGAACCATGTGATAAGTTAAAGGAGATCTCTTGGAGAGGAAGGTGGATGCACTTGAAGTAGATAAGAACTGTCTGCTTCACATGGTAAGATAAGGAAATTCCTATCTAAAGCCTCCATTTTCTTGGTGAGAAGTGGGCTCATGTGTAATTACATAGATGATTGAGATTGGGCAATTAATACAAGCTTCTCCATAATAATAGATACTACACATTTCCTGCCATCATCAAACTTCTTAGCTTTAACTTTTTCCCCCTTAAGATTTATTTTTTGTTTGAAGGCAGAATTACAGAGAGAGGAGACAGAATTTTCCATCAGCTGATTCACTCCCCTAATAGCTACAAAGGATAGAGCTGAGCCAATCAGAAGCCAGAGGTTTCCTGCATGGGTGCAGGGGTGAAAGAGGTTGGGTCATCTGCTGCTGCTTTCCCAGTAGCATTAGTAGGGAGCTGCATTGGAAGTGGAGCACCTGGGACTCCAACTGGTGCCCATATGGGATGCTGGTGATACAGATGGAGGCTTAACCTCTTAGGCCATGGTGCCAACCCCACCTGAGCTTTAACTCAGCTTTAACTTATAGTCAAAATACTACAAACAGGCACAGTGGGTCTTCACCTGTGTCGCTAGCATCTCATATGGGTTTTAGGTTTTGTTCCAGCTGCTCCACTTCTGATCCTGCTCTTTGCTTATGGCCTGGGAAAGCAGCAGAGGACAGCCCAGGTCCTTGGACCCCTGCACACACGTGGAAGACCGGGAATGCATTGAAGAGAATCCTTATGTCTTGCTTCCGAATTTCTAGAAGTGACACTATCGCAAGGCTGATTAGGAATCTTTCTCCTGTTCTTATCAACTTCCCTAAAAATAAAATCACAAGATATACAAGGGGGCTTCACAAAGGTTATGGAAAAATGGAATGAAAAGACAAGTTTGTTTTGCTGCAAAGGAGTTTACAAATTCTTGCTTTTTTCGTATTAAGGTATTTGTTTGAAATTAGTTAAGACTTTATAGACATAGTGGCAAACATTCAGATCAACTTGATTCTAAAGGTCAGAGTGTTTGGGGCTGTAGGTATGGGGGTGGGTGTAAGAGTTCCTGTAAAAACAAATAAAC